CTGTTTTTGTGTGTATATTTGTGTTATTATATTTATATAGCTTGTAAATACTGTAATAAACGGCCTCTTGAAAAGCAGGTGCCTACGAGCCCTGAAGAGCTACCGTTTTAAAATATTTTTAAATAATAATAATAAAATAATAATTTATATGGTCCAAAATATTGTCCGAAATATGACTGTGAGCGGTCTACTATACCGTCTATACGACCTATAGGCAAGAATATGTTGACTTTTTAATATAAACATACAGTCAACTTGTAATAAATAAAAACTAGTTTCTGTGTTGTTTAGCAGTTGTAAGCGACATAAAATTTAAATAAATACCTGATTTGTTGTCCACAAATGCAATATTTAATAGTATTCCCCGATTGAGCGAAAAAAAGTTTGTCGATCTGCGTAGTGAAAACTTAAAAGTCAACAAAAAATATTCGGCCGCGATCAGTTATTCCAGCGGCAACATATATAAAATCGGAATTAATCGGAATGTTTTCGGGCATACATTTCGCGGGAAATTCCTTTTACTCGTGGAATTCGCGGGAAATTCCTTTTACTCTATTTCAACTATACATGCAGAATACAAACCAATGAAGCGTGCATTTTTTAAGGCAAAATTTTCAAAAATATGAGCAAACAGCTAACACTATTTGGCACACGTGCTCCATCTAAAACGCATGTAATATATCGGTATCCGAAAGGCGATTACGAATGTTTTGTCGAACGCTATTGTTTACGTGCCAAAGGAGAAAAAATAAATCTAAAAAAAATTCACGACGAAGCGCAAACCACTTGGAAAAATGTATACAAGGGCAACAAAGAGAAAATAGAAGAGGATCAAGCTCTCAGGGAAAATGAACGTCCATTTGTGAGGTATGGTTATTAAATACATTTTTATATTTAAAAAATTATTAAAACTTTATATTATTAAATTATTAATTATTATTAATTATTATTAATTATTATTAAAACTTTATAATATACACGCGACATAAATTACAATACGTGAAACCTGATGTTAAAATTAGGTCTCGTAAATCTAACGTTAATGAAATCATAAAACGCGGATATTTATTATATCAAGAACATGTTTGACCCTTGCAGACTCGATTCATCTGGGAAACCCATTGACGACGAATGTGAGGCACTGCAGCAATCACAAGAAAAGCCATTGCCTGGTTTTTTTAAAGCAACTACAGACGAGTCGAACCACTCGTAGGTGTCCCCTGTCAACCCGACGCCAGAGCCAGTAGAACAGATTATCTTAGACGAACCACCAATAATCGCACCATTAATCGTGAGAAAGAATACTGTGTCGGATTTTATTTCTTTGAAAAACAATGAATCCAAAAAGTCCTTAAGAGACGAGATGAGCAGAAAGCAGGTAATCGCTTTTGTCAAGCCTCGTTGCCCGGATTTCCTGACTGAAGACGTACTCAATAACGAATCGTTAATACATGGCATGGCCCAGTCGTTGACCAAGATAAACGAATTTGTGGTATTGGAGAATAGGTTTTCGTCAAGGCAATCAAAAAAGGCAACCAAAACTGAGTTATCACGAATCGTGAAGACAGTTAAAAAGGAAGTCCAACAACTTGATGAGAAGCTGAAGGAAACAAGTCAAATACATATTGAGGTTTCTCAAGGGACCGAGCGACTGTGCATTTCAAGCATGCAGAAGCAAGCATTACTTACACAAGTCCTAACAAAGTCGTTGGAAATACAACATTTAATTGACTCCAGCAATGTCCTTAAAAAGATGAAGAAACGTGTCGTGCAGCAATCCCAGCGGAAAACGAACACACTAAAAGATATACAAGCCCAAGATACTAAAGTATGCTGCTACAATTCCGAGATAAGTTGGGAGGAGGCCTATTCTGCGCTGGAAAACAAACAATTTTCAGGAAAAGTTTCCTCAACCGAAATCAGAAATATGGCCGCACAAATCGAGAGTTCCTTTATCGCTCCTGTATCAGGCATTGTTGGTGATGCAGAGGAAATGGAAAATAACATCGAACTTCTCCTCCTAAATTTCCCGATAATGAGGGCAACAAGAGTAAAATGCAAGCAAATAGAAGACGTACTTATTGACGTCAAACAGTTAGTTCTAGACCCTAAATGTTTTGCAATGCTGTTTGAAGCTGACGACAACCCTACAGAACAGCAAGCAGAGGTGCAACAAGAGGACTTGTTGAGACCGGTCAAAGAGGGCCCAACTCGACGTCTTGGCCGTCGACCATTATGGCTAAAGTACCCGGAAATCATACAGACCGCAACAGACTTTATTAAACAGGAATCGTTCGCAGCTCATCGAAGAAGACGTGAAAATACCGGAACAGGCACGGGAGTGGCCCTTAAAGATTTGCAGAAACACCTTTTGGATAACGTTCCTGGTCTTAGAGAACATGGAATTTCGCTTGACACCATTCACCACCTAATGGTAGCTCCGAAGAAGAACAGCAGTCGAGCGATCCGTTACAAAGGGCTTATTGACGCGAAAGTCGCTCCCAAGAAGAACAACTATCGAGAGAACTGTGAAAATCAGCACTTTTTGTTCGCCAGAGTAAATTACCGCGAGGAGCTTTGTTCCATGTTTCATGAAGAGGCACGGTTTTATTCTTCAGATGATATGAACAAGCTGCGTATGGGTCCGTCTCCAGCCGTTTCCAGGTATCATCAACAGCATCGTTTTCACATGCAAAACGACACGCCAAATCTCTGGGATCACGATTTCCCTCATCCAGGCTACCTCATCACAACCTCTGGATACCAAATGCAGGTGAAACAATCAGTTCGTGACGACCAGCCTACAAACGAAGAAGACGAAATGTACACGAGGGTCGACTTAAATGACTACTCGGAAGACCCCGATTTTGTCAATTTTCAAGAGCGTGCTCACAGCATAGAAAGCACTGAAGATGACGTAGTACCGAACGACAAATACAAGGACAAACTTGGTCGACTTCATTTTAAGAAGACCACCTATGGTCCCGCTGTGTTGGTTTTAAGAGCCGCTAAATTCACCTCATCCAGTGGACAGACTCATGCAAACGATCTCCTTCCCATTTTAGCAGCGCAAGTGAAAGAAGGGAAAACCGTGGCTTTTGTCAAAGTTGATAACGGTTGCGACTGGAATGTACGGTCTGTCGTCAACTCGATCTACCTTTGCCGCTTGTGGAGGGATTCTGGCCTTGACATCCTGGGTGTGGTAAGTTACGCTGCAAAATACTCTGCATACAACCAAATTGAACATTTGTGGAGCCCAATGAGCAAGAAGTTATCATCAGTTATTCTGCCATCGACACCAGATGGGGAAGACAAAGCACCATACCTGCAGACGGAACTGAATGAAGAGGAACGTCGTGCCAAAGAAGGGGCAGTATTTGACAATGCCATGATGCTTGTGAAAGATAAATATTGGAAAGGTGCAACTTTTAATGGAAGCGAAGTCACCACATTGGTCAAAGAGTGCTTAGCAGAGGAGAGTCCATATCACGATTATGAGCATGTCCATAAGGTAAGCAAAAGTTTTCTTCTACATTTAGAAAAATGCACCCATTCACCGGAAAAGTTTAGCACGTTTTAGAATTAAAGAGGATCTCTTGATTTGATCATTTAACAATTTGAATATTTTATATTCTAGACTATTTCAGGTCCAGTTGGCCAACTCCGTCTGAATAAAGAAATTGTACTTGAGATGAGGTTTATGACCAAACACATTGACCGGAAATCAAATGAGATAATCTTTAGAAAATGTGTGGATCCAGCCTGCTCATACTGCACTAAACATCCTGTTCGTGCATCAAAGATGTGGGAATACCTAATGCAACGCAAGATGAAGTGGCCCAACCCAATCCCAAGCACATCGTATCCAGGCCATTTCATGACATTCTTGGAGGTCTCTGAACTGGACGAGAAGGCTCTTCCCACGGGTAAGTAGTCTGTCTCACCAAAGCTAACCAGTTACTGCACAGAACTTGGTTTTATG